TTTGCAAGTTTTTATTCCTTTATCTGAGTTGTGAATTTTAATCAATTCCTACAATTTTGGGATACCAAGAGTTTGATCAGTGTCAAGAGTTCAACTTCTGTATTTATTGCTAAAGAATTTGTTGCTTTTCCCAAGGTTACAAGACTTTATTTTATTTTTTCTAAAGTATGATTCTTATCAATTCCTATAATCTAGGATACCACAAAATTAATTGATTCTCAAAATTAATCTAGGATTCCTATATAAATACATGATACATTAATGATTAACCCCGTATGAATTTTATATTTTACCATATAACCCCCTTATGGTTTTCAAAATATACACATAATCCCCTTAGTTAATAAATAATTTTCAACTTTACATAAAGGTATTTTTGACATTTTAGGTGACTCCGTTGAGAATAATCATTCCCATCACTTTGACACTTTAATCCAAACCATGAGGGGGTTATATAGTTTTTAAAACCATAGGGGGGTTATGTAAAAAAAAATGCTAAACCACAGGGTGGTAAAGTTGAATTTGCCCTTTATTTTTTAGAAAGTATAATCTAGGATACCACAAAATTAACTGATTCTCAAAATTAAAACTCATATCTTTGTCAAAAAAAAAAAAAAAAAACTCTTGTTGCATTTTCCTATACTAGCCGTCTTCTTCTCTGTGCTTCTTTCATGGCCGAAATACTTAAAAGAAAAGTTCATCTTTCTTTCATAATTAGCAATGAGAATGGAAGAAAACTGGGGGAAACAATCGATGAGAAAATGTTTCTTTCCTTTTTGGTTCAATTAGATGATTCAGTAATGAGAATGAAAGGAAACTCCCAAGCCAGAGTGCGTATACCATATTCATGCATCCGTCTCAATTTAGAAACACCAAATCAAGAGTGAGAAAGGAAAACGAAACCAAATGGGAATTGGACTTTGCCCAATACAAAATTTACCCTTTTCGGTCAAATATGATATCTCCTAATAATCCCATTAGGAAACTTTTAATTGTTTCCCTCTACTCCCATAAAAGTGTCTATACATGCAACAAATACCAAGGAACTCAGGTGAGAAGACAAGACATAAGACGGAGTGAGTGACTGAGAAAAGATGGAAGAAGTTGATCATGTGGAAGAACAAAACGAGTTGGAAGGATTTGATGAGGAAAAATTTGTGCAAGAAACTGAGGAGGGAAAAATTGTGGAAGCCCACGTCAAAGGAATAAAAGAAGCTTGTGATAAGCTAAAAGAAGTTCGAGATACAGCTTTGTACCTTGCTTCTTATCTAAAACTACAAAGGGAAAAGGATAGGTATTCTTCTTTTCTTTTCTTTTCTTTTATAATTATACTATTTTCTTCCTTGGAATAATAATACCAAATGTTACGTGCTATTTTATTATATTGCACTACGTTGCTTGCAATAATTAGCACATTCAATTACTTAATAGTTACTTTATAATTGTATTGTATTACTAAATTACCATCAAAGAATACGTATATATACATAATTATATCAATGATTAAGTGACATGATAATCTCATTTAATTTCTTGTTTTCTAATGGTGCTAGGTTTATCAAATTGAGGCAGGAGCTGGAGGAGGACGAGGTTGCATATAACCATATTGTGAGACAGAAGAAAACACAAGAAGCTTTGAGATTAATGTCCACTAAGGCCAAGATGCTGAATGGTGAACATCCTAGGGTTCAAGAAGAGGTGTTGAGGCTGCAAGCCGAACTTGTTGGGTTGGTAAAGACACGAACTCGATCAAAATATGCAACGATTGTGAATTGATTCATATACAATCAGATTTTTTTTCCCTCCATTCCTTCATGATTTTTTTGTACCCCTTCTTAACTTCATAGACTGTGGTAAAGTTGATTTTCTTTTAAGAGTTCATTAGGTATAATAGGATTGTATCCCAAGTTGGATATTAGCTTTTATATATATATAAATCATTTTTACTGTAACACCGGAAGCAGTGTAGCAGTCCGGCAAGTTACTGTGCAAACACGACAACAAAAAAATAAACGATGCACTGTAGCACGTACTGTAGTGGTACTGTAGCATTGTATTTGGTAATGATTTGGCATATTATAAACAAATGTTAGTCTTCCTGTTTATAAACATTCTTGTGTGTTCAGTGATTCATTTTGCTTTATGAACGGTAGAAGAAAAGAGTGACCACTTTCTTGAGCAACTTTTGATACTTTTTTAGCAATATACTAATTAACTCTTTAGCAAAATTGATTACCTCAATTAAATATACTACAAGAATTTTAGCAAGGAAATACAATAATCCAAAGGACAGCCGATGCCATAGATATTAAAAATTAATATAAATTTCTACCATGGAACTATCAGATAGATACTATAGATGTGAAAAATTAATAAAAATTTCTGCTGTGGAATCAAAACTCGATCAAAATCTAATTCAATATATTTTTGGAACCAGTGCAATAACTCAATAAATTGTAATAAAATCAACAATTCGAGAGTTCAACTCATCATTGTGTCTGGATTCGTCTCTAAAAATTCAATTCATGCAATCCAGAAGGTTAAAAAAGCCATCATTGTTAAAGCCGTTATCGTCAGTATCACAAATACTAAGGTTCGTCCGCCTTGCAGAATTTACACCAATAGAAAGCCATGACTGTCTACCATTGGTAAATAACACGCATATTCAAAACTAACCAACAGTTCCCTAGCAATTTGCACAAACTGTCCCCTGATTACAGTGCCAAAAGCTACAAGTATAGCTTCTCTTGTCCGAAATTCTTCACTTTCCATGATTTTGGCATCGCCTTCTAACATTTGCAAAGTGAATGGTGACTGACAAAGCAATCCTTGCTTCGATTCTTGATGAAAAAGGGGCCAAGTGATTGAGAATGTATTTGCTGGATGAAGTTTTTGGTTCTTGAGCCACAGTTTCTTGATTCTCTTCTCCCTATGACCTCCTTAATGGCTATTTTTCGTGAGTTTTGAAAGATATGACTACGAATTGTAATCTCATGAATTATGACTGGTTGGTTTAAAATTTCAACAAGTCGTGGGACTCTTGACAATTTCATAGAATTCGTTGAGAATTGAGGTGAATAATTGAAGTTTTTCTTTTCTTTTGTAGTTTCTGATCATGAAAGATAAGAAAGAATTCTTGCTATGCTATCTTTGTATTTTAAAATTACTGACTGGCTTTGGATAAGTTTGAGTCTCTAGTGACTAATTTTCATTCATTTATTTATCCGGGCCTAAATTCGAAACCTCGAAAAGGTGTGGCTGGCTGATAAGGGATGACACGGCATCCAGGTGGCAGGTGGCTAACCCAAAATTGAAAAACAAAACAAAATATAGGTCTAGGTTGACAAGTAAGTTTTTTAGGTATTTGTCTCAAATTTTAAATGTAGATTAAAGTAAAAGTTATAGAAAAAAATTTTGAAATATATAAATTTTTGAATATTTTGAAGTGTATGATTTTAAAATTTTAAAATTTTTTTTGAGATTATTATAATTAAAATTATTAAAAAAATATATAACAGATAAACTTGACCAAAAACTTACTTGCCAAACAAGGCCATACACCCAATTAACATTCCCTGCACAGCTGCACTTGCTACCTCTCATTCCCGGTCCAAACTTCCGCTATCCTCCACTTGCACCCAATCCCAAGAAGCTGATGCAGCCCTATGCGGCTATGCTACTACCTTCTGCAAATCCGCTGGCACAACCAGTCCCTACCTCCTTATCCAACCAAAAGAAACTGCATTACAACATATTTTAATATCAACATTAATCTCATTTAGAAACTAAAATTACTAAATGGCTTATATATGGCCCCATTTGGAACCCAAATTTTTTAGAAGTTTATTTAAAACTTACTGTAGATCACTGTAGAAGTTGTAGTAAAACTGACTGTATAAGTTTTTTAAAAATTTTACTGTAGCAATTTTGGAAAAACTTTACTGTAGCAATTTTTTTTACAAAAATTTTTTTTTTTTAATAACTTAAAAAAAATTCTCGTCGAAATTTTTTTTTTCTGTAGCCAAAAATTGTGCTCCATATTACTGTAGCAAAATTATTATGACTTTTTCAACTAGCTTGCATCTAAATAGGTAAACATGGAGATTTTCTTATATTTCACAGTAATATGGAATCTCAAAACCTGTATGCAAATAATTTGTTATAGCAAAATAATTTAGAGAAGTTGTGAAAATATTACATTCATACAAGTGGAAATGAATCCGGTAAATAAGTACATGACCAGAAGGCTTCAATTGCTACATGACCAAATATTCATACCCAATATTAAAAAAGAGTCATATTATACAAAAAACTAGTTCGAGCTATGAGGGAATCAAGTAATCAGCGTGAAAATTGGACGTGGCAACCATATACTACTCATTTCGGTGAAGGTACATGTGATCAGCCATTGCATTTCGTTATTTCTTCCAATCATGAAGTGCTTCTGGAGTGACGTGGAATTGTGGCATTTGAGCTCTCTCTATACCTCCGCCATCCATATTAGCTTCATCCATATTACCTCTGCCATCCATATTAGGTTCCTCGCACTTTTTGTGTCAAATCATGGCTCACGCCATATAAAGCAATTGCTACTCCTTCCTCTAAAGTCACTTTATCACAGGGGCCCTCAGTAATGTATCCACTTTCTCGCAATATCCGGCATGTTGAACAAATGTGGGCACATTCATGCGCATGTAGTTAAGCATTCTAATGCATTTTCCCTCCAACAGCTCGTCTACCCAACCCTGACCTAATAGAGCACTTGTATGGACTAGCTGTCTTGTCCTTGAAATATGATGTGTTTAAAAGTGTCACGATAGTATTAACACAGCAGTTGCGGCTTGTCTTGCATCATCTGGGTCATCTAAATTCACTCCAAAATTGGGCAGAGCCCTAACCATTTATGATCTGTTCGAGCAAAACACTTGCACCTTGAAAAAAAGTAAAGGATAAGCACCAAATAAACCAGAAGCTAGGAATATGTGAATTAGTGAAGCAACTCTTATATCAAAGTAGAACTCCAATTTATTATTCGCCAACTCGAAAAGTCAAATATTTGAAATGGAGAAACATTATGGTAGGTCTACAAATGATCCAAACTACGTAATGAAACAACCAAAGTGCAAATTCGTTTCCCAACAGGGAAAACCAGCAGCCATCAATCACAAATAGAAATCTTTTACATTAAAACATGCAAACAAAGCCTTCCAACTGGTGCTTAACCCCCCTAGGCACATGCAGGTCTCAATCATCTAGTTCGCCCCCCCCAATCTTCAGTGCATATAACCGCTTCCTAGCCTCACTCTTCTGAATCAAAAACATCCTCCGATGGTCAGCAGAATCAGCCAACTTCCAAGCTGCTGTGACAGCTACTTTATCCGACAAGCCTTCTATTTTGGTTAAGGCTTCATCTGCCTTTGCCACCGAGTAAGGGTCATCATCCACGTAAATCGGAGGAGGAGGAGCTGGAGCAGCAGTAGGTGGGGGAGGTGGGGCATCTACGCTCTGGGACGTGCTCCGATCGGAAGCAAACGTCGCATCCATCCAAGATATTACATTATTATAGGAGGAGCGACTTAGACCAGGCGGGGGGTCGCCGTCTCTGGCGGATGAAGATTCCGGAGTCTTCCTTTTCCCTTTGCCTTTGCCTTTCGAATGTTTGGCATCCGATTTCCCAATTGACTGCATAGGAGGAATTATATCATCAGTCAGGTCCACGTGCTCCGTGCCCTGGCCACCCATATTGTCATACGCTTGACTTTGCCTCGCTCTTATCTCGTCATTGATGTCAACTGGTGGTTGATTTGAGTCCCTTGCATATCGCCCTTGGGCATCCATTTTGTCAAACACCTCCGACAATATGTAGAAGACACGGCAATCTTTGTTGTGGTAAGTCTTAAAGGATGGATTCTCCTACACATTTAACACCAAAAAGAACATAAAAGGATGTTAAAAAATAGTTTTTTACACTTTATACGCTTATGTAATGCAAAAGAAAAAATTAATTTTCAACCTTAATCACAGCTTGCCATTTGCTTTCGTCCATGATTACAGTCTGGAGGAGGGGATCCCATCCGGCCCCAGTCACCCTCAATCGCATGCGATTGTATTCTTGTGTCAGATGACGTAATGCATAATACTTCGCCTTGATTTGAGTTGGATCAAAGTGGCATCCTTTTTTGGCAAATTTATCAACAATTGCCGGAAAGACCTCACTCTTTAAGTTGCCCTTGTTCATTCTATTAGCCCGTTTAAATTCAACCAAGTACTCCGCAAATTCAAGCTCTCGCTCCATTGGAAATTGGGCTCGACCTTGCCTTGATGAACCAACCTTACCAGCCATTGGTTTTTTACACTTTATGTAGGACAAATAAGATTGGCTCAAGTTGGCAATTAAGGATGCTAAACAGAAATTGAATGGCATCTATAGCCCCAATGCACATATAGCAATATTGAAGTAATACAGGTGAATCACGTGTAAATATTACCAATGAACAACTAGGGCAGCCATGAACACGGGACACACAAAATAGTTAATTCAATATATTAGTGACGGCGTTGGAAAAAGAAACGAATTCAATAATACCTTGAAGTAATTGGTGATGAAAAGCTTTAAGTCGTTCTCTCCACACTCGGACCAAGCAATGCTAACAGGATCAGGAAGTATGAGTTTTTCGACTGTGAGCGAAAGTGAAAATTAGCCCTTACAATTCTTAACAGTCCGACATGCAAGGAAAAAAAATATATACCCCCAAAACAAACCTCTAGAAATGGATCTAGTGCGCGGCGGCATAAACCTGTTAACAAAAGAATACATGCCTATATCTCAAATTTTGGAATTCAGCTTAATTACCTAACTCTATAATAGAACAGAAAAATACGCTAAAGAAAGAAATGAAACTCCACATTCAAAATATTAAAAAGCAAACAATAGAATTTGAACTAATTCCGCTAACCCCCTATTTCACCTAAATCAAATGAAGGCACGAAAAATATTACTACTACTCATGGATTAATTAAACCAAAGCCTCAATAAGTAAAAAAAATTCAATTGAAAATTTTTTTGTGTGCTCCTACAACACTTAGAAAGATTTGTTCGAATGACTCCCTCATAACCAGATAGCTATTTGCAGTCAAAAGAATACATGAATTCAGAATTTTAACACCTTCTTAAACCATTAAGGCAATCAGGAATGAAATGAGAACATGTTGCCACAAATAAGATTAGCATAAGAACATTAAACTGCTCCAAACAGGTGTAAAACAAGTTTGCAGGAGGCTTGACAAGTTACATTGCCCTTGTAACAACTCTGTATTTTTCCCAGCTTATACTTTGGCATTAAATTCAATAGCTATGATCAACATCTGCAGTTTTTCAAAAAGGAAGGGTAATGTTCAAATTTTAACTTAAAATCCAAAAGTTTTTTTTTTATATGAATTTGAATGCCAATCATCATAACGTGAACGGAGGAGAAAATCAAATTTGTCCAGAACTTAAAGATAAAAATAAGAGGAATATGATCTAACGATCAACCAAATTCCTTCCAAAATCAGTCTCTTTTTCATAAATGCAGCAGCATATGACTCCTTCCCAAAGCTAGAAATGAATGGCTGAAATGGAAAATGCTCTTACAGGGAAAAAATGGCCATTCAACCACTCTAAACCAACAGATATTCTTAACTAAAATACCAGATTTCCTTTTTCGTTTTTTCCATTACAAGCCTCAATAATGGTTCATCCAATAAACGGAAAAAACTCAAGTAATCAGGACTAACAACTAATCATGGCCAAACCGGAACTATTTTGTCTTCATAATTCATACTAAATCCCTAGTCATAACTGATAATTTCCATTAAACAGCCTCAATTAAGTTTAAGATCACACTAGTAGGACATTTTTGCACATAAAAACACACAGAGTTCTCTCGGCTCTTTCTGAAATTTTTCACAAGTAGGTGAATCTCAGAAAAGTTGTACCATATTCAGATCAGAAAGAGAACAAATGTACCGCAAAGGCCATAAAAATTAGCAACAATCCCACCAATTAACAAAAAAATGAAGCAAATGGAAAGGAATCTACTATACAGCGACTGCTCAGTCATTTTAGCAATCTGCTGCTTCAAAAAAATAAATAAATAAATAAGCAAGCAGCCGAGCTAATCTCTTAACAGTTCTGGTAGTTAGGCACCTGAAAGTAGAGGGCTTTTGTAGCGGGCGGACAAGGGCAGCTGTTGCAGAGCTCACCGTGGTGGACGACACGACTATCAGCCACCGTAGGCTTTGCCGGACTTCAGCAAGTACCAAATGAGGAAAATGCTGAACCTTCGGTGGACAAAACTCCGATGGCTGCGAGACTGCTACACCAGTAGAGGAGTGTCCAACCAACCTCGTGCGCCGCTTCTCTTTGGGTTTATCAGCCTACGAACGAGAAGAATTAGCTTGGTGTTCTCCTGCAGTTCAGCAACCGGGGAAGCTTGCCTTCTGTGCAACGAGCTGAGTTGATGAAGACGGGAAAAAAACACAAGTTTTTGAGGCCAAAACGACATAGTTTCATTAAAGTTTCAGACAACCTCCAAAGTTATTTACAAGTTTTTTGGGGTTCCTGTAGCAAAAGTTGTTAAAAAACTAGTAGCAAACAAACTTCCTAAAAAACCATGGTTCCAAACAGGGCCTATATGTTTGTATGTATGTATGTATATACATAGAGTGGTACCATGCTTCAAGTAGGCAATGGCATTGCTCGTGTTCATGGTCATGATGAAGTAATGGCGGGCGAATTAGTTGAATTTGAAGAAGGGACAATAGGCATTCACATTGCTCTGAATTTGAAATCAAATAATGTTGATGTTGTATTAATGGTGATGCTTTGATGATACAAAGAAAGTTCTGTAAAAGCAATCGTAAGAATTTCTCAAATACTAGTGAGTGAATGAGGCCTATATATATGTGGAATATATATATATACGTGTGTGTGTGGAACATGTATATATAGATGTCTGTGCGTGTGTATGTATATGGAACATGTATTACAATTTAGCCCCCTATGTCAAAATCCATGTATAATATAACACCCATATGGTTATCAAATAATTTTCATCTTGATATTACGGTATTTTTTATATTTTTGGGCTCTATTATAGAAAGCAAGTTCCGACACTTTGACATTTTAATTTAGACTATGTGAGAGTTATGTAGAACTTTTAAATCATAAGAGTGTTATATGTAAAAAGCGCTAAAGTACAGGGATGGTGTGTAATTTACCTTAAGTTTAATGATTTTCCACTCATTTGAGGATGTTGAAACTCATTTACCCTAACTTTTGTAAAAAAAAATTATCAAAAAAAAATCTTTTCAGTTTTGTGTCTTCCATCTTCCTTTCTCTTTCTCTCTCTTCTACACTTTCCAGTCTCTTTCTCTCCCTTTCTTGACTTCCCAGGACTCTATTCTTCTTCTCCCTTCACAATCTTTCTCCCTTTTTCTCATTTCCTAGTCTCTTTGCTACTCTTTTTCTTCACATTATCCAATTCATCTCCTTTTCTTTTCCTCACTGATCTCTCTCATTCTCGTCCTCTAAGTGTACATTAACCAACAAATGTCTACAAAAGTAACATTGTGTCCAAGTATCACATCTACATAAGGTACTTTTACAAAAGGAATCTGAGTTCAAGAAACCAAAGAACATCTAAGTGAACCATTGCATGATCAAAGGCAACTTTGTCTTCAATGTCCTTCAGTCATATCTATAGACTCTATCTTCCAAAAGTTTGAATGACCAACATTTGTCTGTCATAAAGTAATAAAACAAGTAGATAAGAAGACGAGCACAACACTAAAGGAGAAGCAACTTTGCTTAGGTTGCTTAGATAAAAAAATGCAATCCAAAGAGAACCTAATTCTAAAGGCTATACATACATTCTCAAAGTAGAAGCGGCCCCAGAAAATTAAAATCAGCCCCAAGAATAAAAATCAGGCCCAAACTAATGCACAAAATCAGCCCCAGATATAAGTACTGCTATTAAACTTAAATAACAGCCAGTAGTGGTAGAAAACTCAAACAATTTTAGGATGCTAAAAATCTTTCAATTGGCATTAGGAACTCATTAATATCAAAGGCGGTATATATATGCTCAAAGTACAAGCAACAGCTAATAAAACTAAAGTAAATTAAACCAATTTAATGAACAAAATGAGCCCAGAAATAAGAATTGCTATTAAGCTTAAGCAAATTAAAGCCATCAGCTGATAAAATTGAACTAAACTAATCCACAGAATTAGCCACAACAATGTAACCATGAAAAATAATAGGTATCTATAGCATTCTAATTCAATTAGCTGTATAAGAACGATTCTTTACTAGTTATTATCGCCAGATGTATTTTCACTGCCTTGCTTCTTAAACTGCATTTTTGCTCTTCAAGCCTTAAGGAGTTCTTGCATTTCAATCTATTGGTTCTGCATTTCAGCTCGTTGGCTCTCAAGTGCCTTTGCATATAAGGTTACCGGTAAGAAAAAGTACAACTTGAACTTGGAAGACTGCCAAGGTTCTAGTAGGAATTCCAAGCTCATGTGAAAGAGTTGCAATTGCTGCAAATAATAACAAATGAATCTGTTGAGGAGAAATTACACAGTAAAATCATTACAAGGCAGGAATACACAAAAAAGGGACAATTTATGTGCAACTGCAAAATATGCAAAAGAAAGCTCCAATTGATAACTAGCATGAAAATCTACTGAATACAACATGTATTCTCATAGCTGCTGTGCTTTGTATCAGCAAAAGGAGCTTAATTAGCTAGATGACTATCACTACTCTTTTGCCCTCACAATACTTTTAAGTCTTGACTAGTGCATGGCCTCACTAAGTATATAAAACACAACTGCATTCATGGCCTCATCATGTCCATTTTCTCAACTTAGCTCATTGAATTAGTATACAAAACACAACTGCATGACCATGTTGTATACAGATTCTTTGCATTCAGCAACATTTACAAAATAAGGGAAATAGGAGCAAGAAAGGATGGAATAATCTAATAGGTTGCTTCCCAGAAAGCAAAAAACATGCACTTGAAGAGGTATGTGTGTGTGTGTGTGTGTATGTATGTATGAACAAAACTCCTGCATGGTACCTAGCTGCTTGGACTTTTAACTTTGATGTTTGAATGTGATAAACAACGAACCTCTAAGAAAGGATAAAAACATATAAATGTGTACCCAAAGCTGTTCTAGACCAGTACTAATCATTTTTCTTCATCAGTCTCTAGTAATGAAAAAGGAAGAGAAATAGAGTAGTTATAGTACTAAATTAGCACTAGCTACTACCCTTGACAGGAAACAACTCTTTATTTTTTTTTTCTAATGGCTAACCCCATATACGGGGACAGAAGCCACCCCAAAACTTTATTAATGACGTGTGCGTGGCATGCAGTTGATTTTGCAAATGGGGAGCTAAAAGAGGAAACTTTTCCTATTTTATTTGCATTTGCCGAGAGTAAGTTTTCTGGTGGTTTTTAACAGTTGATAAATGGGATTCTGAATTTAGCAAAAGATTTCAAATTTACTTCCAGCTCATGCTTGACTTCCGTTTATTGATGAAATTGAATCTGTTGTGGTATTACTTTACTCATACCTATACTTTGTTCTCTGAAAAATCAAATTGATTATACTTGTTCACTATTGTTCCTTAAAGCAAATCAAAAGAACCCATTTCCTCTTGGAGGGGAGTGAAAAAGTTGTCTTGGTTGTTATCCCAGGCTGGCATCTTGATCATATGTCCAAATCCTATGCTTCAATCTGAGTAATGGTGAAACTATATAGAAGAGAAAACAAATACAAAAATTGAAGGCAGAGAGTACAAGCACAAGCTTGCTGTCTAAAATTTCTTTTGATATAAAAGAAGACATCTTTTGGAGGAAGCTTATACAACACAGGAAACAACTCAACTTCATATATGAACAAAGCTCCTGCGTAATACCTAGCTACTTAAACTTTTAACTTTGATACTTGAATGTGATAAACAACGAACCTCTAATAAAGGATAAGAACACTAGTAATTAAATTAAAATTACCTTTGACAGAAAACAACTTAAATTTATCCCCTACAAAATACAGCGGAGCCAAGACAATTGGCCAAAAGTTTCCAGCTAAATTAAAATTAGAGCACAAAAACTTTGTGATCGGAAAAATTGATCACGTAAATAACCACACAGAGGTGATAGCATCTAATACTCGAGATCCAAAAAGAATTTGGGCAGAAATTTTCAGAAAATAAAAAGAGAAAGATTAGGCCAGAATTATTTGGAAAATTTTAGGGGGAAAATAGGAGAGAGAAAAAACCAACCTTTTGTCACTTGGACAAAACACGGGCCCTTCAACACCGTACAGCCACTGGAAAGTGATGGGTAGAGGTGAGAGAGTGAGAGGGCAAGAGTCGGAGAGAGGGTGTTGGTTTTCTTATGAGAGTGATTTCCTCCGCTCTGATTAGATTAGTTGTGTTTTTGAGTTGTTTTTTAAAGACTTTATTGTAACGATTTATATTAAAAATATTTATTATAGATATTTTTTGAATTAATTTTAGATGTATTTTCAAAATATATTTTGAAATTTTTTTATAATTTATAACTTTTTTGAATATTTTTTTAAATTTTACACCACTCATCCACACCTCCTCCTTCCTCCTCCCTCATCTCTCCTTTCTCTTTCTCTCTTTCTCACGCCTCTTTCCTTTCCCTCCTCTTTCTCCTTAGTCCTCCCTCTTTTCTCTCCCTTCTTCCTCCTCCCCTTCTTTCCCCCCAATTCCAAAACCTTTTCCCACTTACGGGTGATGGTTTCGACTCTAACCACCACTCTAACCGTGTTCTTCTTGGTCGTTACCAGAAAAATTACGACCTTTCTGGACGTGATCAGATTTGGTAGTAACTAGGAAGGAGAAAGAGGAAGAAAGGAGGAGGAGGAGGAGAAGAGAGGGGGGAAAGATGGGGGGAGAGAGAGAGGAGAAAGGGTCGTGGGTGTGAGGGTAGTAGCGGTGGTGGTGGTGGTGGAAAGTGATGGTGTATTTTTTTTTTGTATATTTGAAATTGTTTTTGATATATTGTCTGGATGTGATGTTTTTTGAATTATTTTTGTTTGTGTATTACTGTAACATTTATGTATGAAAAACTTGTTTTTCAAAAATTGAGCAATCCAAACAGAGTCGAGATTTTTGAAAACAAGTTTTTTATGTACAATATTGTAATACACAAATAAAAACAACTCCAAAATACCACATCCATACAAAATATCAAAAACAATTTCAAATATACAAAAAAAAACACATACACCACCACCAACCACTAAAAACACACCACCACTCGCCGCCCCTTCCTCCTCTTCTCCCTGATCCTCCCCCTCCTCCCTCTTCTCCTCCTCTTTCTCCTCTC